AGCCGTCACTCTTCTGCCGATGCCGAATCTTTCAATCCCACGGAGAGTGAAGCTGCTTCCCATACCGAGGAATCAGATGATCCACTGGCAGAGCCATTTGTGGATGATGATCAAGAATTACCAAGTACGGAAGAAAGTCCACCCAGACTGCGAAGGAGAAGTGAACGTAATGCACGGAGTAGTGGAAATCGACGGACAGTACGGACGGAGGAACCTTCCAGGAGGTTGAGAGCGCGTACGAATCAACCCAATTACCAACTACCTCCACTTGACATAAGTGCGGAGATAGGCAGGCAGGATGATCAACCCATGAGACCTAGTGCTCGCTCGAGGGGATTGGGCGCTTTTGGAAATGGGGCAGGATTCGGTCCTGGTGCAGCAACGAAAGGTCTACCTTGGGCATTGAAGGGTGGTCAACTGGCTAGAGCTATGGGTGATCCGGATACCAGTGACTCGGTGTGTTATTCGCACGATGATGTATCTTCATAGGCTAACCCTACAGGAGGATTTCCTTTCGCCGATGAAGAATGCGACTGGTGTAACAGGTTCAGGCGTTGGAAGTTCTGGCAGAGTAGGTCCTGCTACTGGCGCTCCCACCGATGTCCCCAACTTCGGGAGAATTAATCCCAAATCTTGTGAGCATTTTGTCATGGACGCCCGAAGTGCGCTGAGTTCGCAGCAACTGCAGACGCCGATCCGCTTGGAGTGGATATGAACGTAACTTTCGACAACGTCGGTGGTCTCGATGATCGTGAGTACCACTTGCCTAACGGTGGCCCGCCATAATGCAGCCACTTACGATTGTAGACATCAACCAGCTCAAGGAAATGGTCGCTCTACCTCTGCTATATCCCGAACTATTCCAGCAATTTGGCATCACTCCACCTCGCGGCGTCCTCTTCCACGGACCTCCTGGGACAGGTCAGTCACTGACTCATCCCATGAATCCCGTTGATGATCTCAGGGAAAACTTTGCTGGCTCGAGCCCTCGCAGCGTCATGTAGCACCGGAAACACCAAAATAGGTTTGTCTGTCTTCTTGCTGTCTTACCTTGTGCTTATTGTGTAGCTTTCTTCATGCGTAAAGGGGCTGATGTGTTGTCGAAATGGGTCGGAGAAGCCGAGCGTCAACTGCGAATGTTATTCGAAGAAGCTCGGGCGGCTCAGCCTTCCATCATCTTTTTCGATGAGATTGACGGTCAGTTTCTACCTGATCATCCTGTTCGATACTGACCGAAAGGTTTGGCACCTGTGAGAAGTTCAAAACAGGATCAAATACATGCTTCCTTGGTATCAACCCTCTTGGCCTTGATGGACGGTATGGACGGTAGAGGTAAGTCCTTCATCTCCAAGCCGTCAGTTTATTCTCTGATGTCACAGGCCAAGTCATCGTTATTGGTGCGACCAACAGACCCGACGCTGTGGACTCAGCTCTCCGTCGACCTGGAAGATTTGATCGAGAATTCTACTTCCCTCTCCCCAATCGCGCAGCACGAAAGAAGATCATTGGCATCAATACTCGGAAATGGAGTCCTCCCTTGTCTGACCAGTTCTTAGAACATCTCGCAACTTTGACTAAAGGGTATGGTGGTGCTGATCTACGTGTGAGTGTGATCCGTCGATCTCACTACTGCAAACTGATATCAGGCTTTGTGTACTGAAGCTGCTCTTAATGCGATCCAAAGACGGTATCCTCAAATATACAAAACACCCGATCGGCTTCAATTGGAGACAGGGAGTATACATGTCAAGCCCAAAGATTTCATGCTCTCTCTGAAAAGTTTGTGCTTCCAAACATACGACAATCACTTAGCTGATTGAATAGAGATTGTTCCCTCATCAGCTAGAGCCTCATCTTCAGTCGCTGTGCAGCTGCCTCAACATCTGACGCCGTTACTGGAGCGTCCGTTAACTCGACTGAAAGAGGTTGTCGACCTGGCCTTGCCACCTTCGAAGAATAAGACGGCTTTAGAAGAGGCTGAATTTGAAGACGACGATGATTCGTTTGAGAAACACGCTATGCTACAAGGTGACCCTTTTTCACTCCAAATTTGGGCTTTCGCTGATCGATTAGCGCTCGACAAGCTGAGGACTTTCAGACCTAGAATACTGGTGTATGGATCAAGCGGGATGGGTCAGAATTATCTAGGACCTGCTATACTTCATCACCTAGAAGGGTTTCATGTTCAGAGTTTCGACTTGGGTACCTTGATGAGTGATTCCACTCGGGTGAGTCTCCGCCTTGACTCTTTGTTCCTTGACTTTCGTTCTGGAAGACAGAATCGGACATGAGAAAGCTAATGTGCAGACGACAGAAGCAGTTATCGTACAAACCTTCGTGGAGGCCAAAAGACATCAACCCAGTATCATATACATCCCTTCTTTAGCACAATGGGCGGCAACCCTCTCCGAAGTGGCGCGAGCGACTGTGAAAGCTTTGCTTGACTCTGTCCCCCCTTCAGATCCAGTATTGTTACTTGCTTTGGTCGATGGAAGTCTGGAGACCTTGCCCAGGGATGTGAGGGAATGGTTTGGACATTCGTATGAGAACAGGGTGGAGTTGATACCACCTACTGTGGTGAGCACATCTCTTCTGTTTGCTTTCTCGTCCTCTTTCTCCTTTCGGCTCATCTTGTGTTTCTTTCACTGTCGTCCCTTCATGGTTTCCCTCGTGTATATATATGATCAAGGAATGTCTAAGAATAGTCAAGATCGCATAGTTTGAGGGATGAGCCGAATGTTGATAACTCAGTCGGATCGGTCGGCATATTTCGCAGATCTGATAGCTTCATTTCATAAACCCCCGACCGCTTTTCCGGACGCTATACCACGACGTAAACGGATATTGGAGACACTCCCTCTTGCTGACCCACTGCCACCAAGACAACCGTCGGAAGCGGAGATTGCGAGAGATTTGGAAAGGGATAATCAGGCGAGACAAATGATGATTTTGAGTTTTGCTTCTTTCTTTCAGGAATTGGGGAAGAAGTACAGGAAGGTGGCTGCGAGTGTCCGAGTGAGTTCGAGTCTCGTCATCATCCCTAGCCTCGTGCATCAATGTCATCAATTTGTCGTGGTTAACACCCTCTCACCCCGGCCCCTTTATCGTCCTCTACTCCTCCGCGTTGAGTCGAACCAGGGATGCACCTCCTTCCGCTCTACTGGTTTATCGGCGGCTGAGCTGACAATTTAGGAGGACGCAATGGGCCTCAGTGCCTATCTCGCTGAAGAAGCGGCTGGAGCTGTACAAGCAACTCAACCAGGCCATGATAATGCTGACATCAATGTGACTGCTCCGAACGGTAACGGAAACGGTGATAGCGTGATCGAAGTCACAATTGACGACCTTTTCGCGCCTCCACCCACTACGTCCTTGCATCTCACCAACCCCGAAACACAACCTCCTGTTGAACCTGCTCCTCCCGTCATCGTCGACGCATCCGCACCTCAACCCGATCCCGCTACTTCTGTCTGGCAAGCCCACGATATAGATCTCGACGTTATCCAGCATCGTCTTCTGAAGCACAAATATCACACCCCTACCGAGGTCCTCGCCGACGTTCGTAAGATCGAACAAAACGCAGAGAAGTTGGACGTTGATCGTCAAGCTCGAATAGCGGATATGGCAGCGAACATTCGAATGCATGTAGCATCCTTCGATCCCAAGTGGACACCGGAATTCGAACGATATTCACTCAGTATGAGAGCTAGGAAAGCCGAAAGGGAGAAACAAAAGGCCGCGGAAGCGACAACAATTTCGTCACTTCCAGTCAATCCCGAAATTGCTCCTATTCCTATTTCTATTCCTGTTCCCTCTCTCACACATAATGGTGTCCCCGAGAATGTCATGGAAGTACCAACAATTGTTTCTGGACCAAGTGGAACTGAACATGTCCAAAATGGAGATGAGGATGTACAAATGGAAGATAGTCCAAGTCTAAAACGATCAAGAGAAGAATCACTTCCACCTCTACATCTTGATAAACGACCAAGAAACGATCCAATAATTTCTCAATCAACAGAACATCCATCTTACACATCATTACTATCTCCATCCGTCCCACCACCACGTCCAGTGGAAGAAATATCAATACATCCTCCTTTCGTCTTACCGCAATCTCACCTTGACATTCTAGAAACCGAATTGACGGCTTCCACTGGGGATCTGAACGTGGAACAATTGGAACAATTAAGAGCGATGTTGTTTGATAGAATATGGCGTAAGAGAGGAGAATGGGATAGGACGGGTGTGATTGATGAATGTAGGCGAGTGGTGGAAAGGTTTGTGAAAGAAATAGGAAAGATGGAAGAGGAATTTTGAATTGATTTGTTTGCTCTTTCTTACATTACTCTATGAAGGACATGGATGATGCATACTTTGCTTGATGATACTGACTTTGTGTGCTGATAGGCTGATAGGGTTGCCAGAACGTATGGTGTAGTGGAAATGCTGACTAATGATCTGACGATATAGGAAAAGTTGACTGGACTGAAGGATCAGGGGGTCCGTGCGTCCGAGATGAATCATCTTTCCACTTTCCACCCTCCTCTTCTTCTTCTCTTCTCTTCTTCTCTGCTATATCACTTCAATCTTCATCAACACTTTCTCTCATCAATCTCCATTCTATCAGGCGGGTCGTTAAGGAAGCAAGTGTATGGTGAGTTCATTCTCTTTCATCTGAGAAGAGAAAAGACGGACTTTCATCGATCGTCGAGTGGCAAATCTCAAGTGTCATCCTCCCGCTTCTCAGCATCATCTCACCCCACCACATACTCTGTCTGTCCCCATTTCTTTCATGGACGGAGTTTCTCTTCTTCGTCAATCTCATATTTCATTACTCTTTCAACAGTGGTTGCGTCGTCCTTCTCTACTCCACAATCCGGCAAGCATTGTCAGGGTATTCTCTCATTCTTCTCCGCTTCTTTACTATCAGTCGTTTTCACTTGGCGTTTCTCAACAATCTGACTCTCACACTCTTGACCACTTCCTCACCATCAGTCGTTTTCATTCTCTGTGTTCCACGATGTGCCGATCATAATGAAAGTACTGAGTCGTGTCTTCTGAAAGAAGATGGTACGAGATGATAGCAGGAGAGTGAAATTCTCTCCTCGTCGTGTTACTTTTCTCTTGTACACGTGTCGGACAAGGAAGTCATTGCTGATGGCAACAGGTATTACTACTAACTGTCCCTCTTAATCGGTGAGGTGAGATTGTGATACCATTTGATACTCTTCTAGCGTTCATCTCAATGTGAGTTTCATTCTTTTCACATTATATCTCTTTGTGTTGCTCATTTTTACTCCAGCTAACCTCAGATGCGTCGACCTGGCTCTGTCACCCACACTCCACGCCCTCTTTTTCGACAACCCGGTCCCGAAAGCGTTGTCGGATCTCCTGTGATTTCTTGCGACAATTATCGCCAACCATCTCGCACCCCTACAGCTCTTGGTCCCGCCTTTGAGAATCATTTAAACCCTTTGGACCCGAACAATGGGCTCGAGGGTGGCTTCGAGAAATTTCCATGGGGAAAGCGAGTACAGCCCCACGATTTCCGGGGATTTAGTTCAATGGCCAAGGTAAACTTGTCAGAACGAATGCAACAAGCAGTAAGTGCCGATTTCACAACACCATTGTGGAAGCTGACCCTTGAAGGGAATTGGGGCTGCGCAATCATATCAACCGTTCAAGAGCCCCCTTTCGAATGTACCACGAAATTCACATCCTATTGCGGGAAGTAATCACAGCTACACTCCCAGCGTACACACCCCGCCTCCGTCGCCCACACCAACACCCGCACCGCAACGTGCTCCTCGTGAGAGAACCCGGCCGGAGATCACTCATTCTCCTGTCAATCCGTTTTTGGGAGCTCTCCAACAGCAAAACGAGATACATGATGGACATCATATCGATAGCGATAGCGATTGCGATGACCTCGACTTGACCATGCCGGGGAGTGATGGACCAGTGAGGGCCGATAACTCCTTTGAGGGTCCCTGGGTACGAACGCGACCTGTCAACAGTGATCTCGATTTTGAGGCCTTACTTCCTATGACTTTGGCAAAGGGACAAATGGAGGTCAGTTTACTTTTCTTTTTCTTTAGTACGTGATAAGTGAGCTGATCAGACAAGCTTAAGCAACTCAAGCAATCTCGGGTACATATTTCAGAGCTGGAAGAACGCTTACGGCAAACTGTCAAAGATAAGGAAGAAATCGAAGAGCTGGCAAAAACGCATGAGCATGCAAAGGAGATGACAGTTCTGAATGCGCGCAAGGCTATTGAGAAACACGAACAAGCGTGAGTTACTCGTTCTTCCACTTGTGATACCTGCTGAATTTGAAGAATGCGGGCAGCGATACGATGCATCAGAGAACTCGATGATCATTCCCTGGAGGACAAGGATACATGTACGCCAGCAATATCCAACGCTCTTCGTCGCTGACTTGACAGGGGTAGACGTGCTCGACCTCACGGGGACCGCTCTGCGGAAGGAATTTGGTGTACAGCTATCCAAGTTGCATCAGCAACGAACCGTCCTCACCCAAGAGCTTAATAAAGGTGCGCACGATGTGTATCATTGATCAAGCTCACTTTCAGCTCTGAATGAACGCGCTGCCATGTCTCGAGTACACGGAGACGTCATCAAAAACCAGAGGACTCTAGTTGAGAGCCAGTGAGTACTGAGCAGTATTACCAAGCATAGCTGAGTCACTAGGTCACGCATGGAAGAACAACTCGCTGGCCTTAAATCGGAAGGGCAGTCCCTGTCCCAGCAGCAGATGGACGGGTAAGCTCTTTCCAAGATCTGTAGCAAAAGCTGATTCCCAGACTGCAGAAAGATCGTTCGGCTCTTCAGCAAGAGTGTGAGAACCTTCGCGCTCGACTTGAACAGAGTCACTCTAATAAAGATGCTCAAACAAACACGTGAGGCAACATCACAGACAATTTTTATGTCACTGACACTGCAGCATTGCCATGCTTGGAGCAGACTTGAAGATCCGGGATCAACGGATTGAACGCCTGGAGGAACAACTCAATCAGTTCGTAGGCATATTGGGAGCTCTTGGGGTACCAACCGAGATCATCGAGAGCAATGCCGACCGAGCTCTTGCAATGGGTGACGCCCAACTTCAACAACTACGATCAAGACATGCACATGAGGTACAAGCTGTAACTCAGCAATTAGCTGGGGCAAGAGAGGAGCTTGAGAAGTAAGATACACACCCTCTCATGAGAGAATCACTGATCTCGCAGATCGAGACGAGCGCTTTCCGAAGCACAGGCGGACGTTGCAGCAAGTGGATCCCGATACCATGTGGCAGCGGAGCACAAACAAGAAGAAGTAACACGCCTGCAGAGAACTGAAGTGGAAATGCGGAAAAAGATTGAACAGCTTCAGACTCAAGAACAGGTAGGTCATATGCCTGTCACAAATGTAGAATAAAAAGTGTTGATGAAAGCGTCTCCGTGCTGAAAATATACGGCTTGATCAGGAGCTCAAGATTGAAGGTGTAAGTCACAAAACAACTTTGTTATTCTCTGCTGAGGACTAGATCAATCTAGCAAATGTGGCACGAGAAGTCTCAGCCTTACACAATCAACACGACGTGGCCGCCGCCAAGGTGGAGGAGCTCAACTCGAAAGTGATCAATTTGAAAGCAAGTTGATACTCTTGACGTAAGTCTGTCCACTAATCCAGTAGATTGATAACGCCAAACTGTCGACTTCTGAGCATCTGATGAAGGAACTTTATCAGGAGTTGACAAAACGAGGGGATGACAGGAGCTCAGCCACTCATCAGGAGGCAGTTGGTAGGTTGTGTGGTGAGAAAGAGGAACTCTCGGGACGTCTGAAAACGGCAGAGAAGGAGGTTCGTTATTTCATCAAGTGTACGAGCTAGAGTCTGATTATCAGCGTGAGGAAGCGAGGGACCGCCTCACAAGACTGGAATCAGAGCTGGCAGAGGGGATTACCGTGAGTCAGCCATTCTCGAGGGTGATACACAAGATTGATCAACCAGGCTTGTCAGCAGCTTGACACTCGTACTCCCATCGAACGGCTGCTTTGTCATGAGTTGGTGAGTAGTTGTGTGTTTTGTTGCTTGTTTACAAGCTGACTGCCATAGACCGCCGGAGAAGTCGGTGAGTAAATCACTTCCAGGACAAATCCCCAAACTCGCTGATCAATGAGCATTGTATGAACTGGCTGAAGGAAAGGGGAAGGAGATCGGAATGGAGCTTGTCGCAGGTCAGTTTTTCTCAGAGTTCGAGGTCTGGGACGACGCTTACACACGCAGAAGCCTTTGAGACAAAAGAGTTGGAGCTGCGTGAGTACCCGTGATCTTGACTCTGTGTCGCTGATAATCCTAGGCGCTGAGAAAGAGAAAGTATGTTACTCACCTTATATCCCAAGAATTCAAAGCTGAGAGCAGGTCATTCGTCGGATGGAACGCACTCAACATGAGCGGGCAGAACTGCAGAAGTCGTTTGACCATTTGGCCGTGAGAGTTTGTCAGCATAAGGTCGGAGATGCTGACCTGAAGGAACAGCTCCGTATCATGGTGCAAAACCCCGGAACTACCTTTATGCCGATGGCTCAGTCCGAGCAAGATGGAAGAGATGACCTGGTGAGTTGTTAAAGAATGAAAGGACTTGTGGGAAGCTCATTGTGTAGATGCAGTCAACACCTGTTTCCGCACCGTCTCTCATCCCCCGTGTCCAAAGTACAAGAACTGAGGGTCTACGGTCTGCCCTGAAGCGAAACTCAAGTGTCCCGGAAGGTCCAAACATGGCTAAGAGGGTGAGTGACTTTTTATCACGTGCCACTAGTAGCTTGTATCGACATGACATCTAACACATAGACTCGGTTCACGGGTGTTCCACCTTCTCCTCCGGAAGCCCCACAGGACGATACGGTCCAGAAGATGGCGGATATGGACGAGGGCTTGATGAGTGCGTTAGAGGACATGCCGACTACTTTTGCCGAATCGATGGTAGACGAGGACAGACCGAGGCCCGGCGCACGTCGGCATCGCACCCGACGATTCTGAGTTACATTGTATCATTCCCATTCTATCCTGGATGAGCATATCAAAAGAAATCGTATCATTTCGTGTCCCGTTAAATGATAGTTTTATACCTATGTATCACATGTATCATAAAGAATAAGGTGAGGGTGTATGCGATGAGTATGCCACTGGGGGGCTACAAGTATGGTCGAGAGTAGCTAGTCTGGCCATTAGCCACATGCCACACATGCCACGACCAATGGCCAAAAGCGGCGAGCGCCGAGCCGGGAAAAGGGAAGGGGAAGAAGGAAGGGATCGACGTCACTTTGCACCTTGTTCCGTCCATCTGATCACATCTAGCACCAACTCATTTTCTACGGTATACTTCTGTCTGTAACTTACATGTCACACCCCACCCGGACATCTCCCACTGTACATCTCATCATGACCTGAGAGACCTTTACACTCATTATCAATCGCCGTACTCGTCGTCCCCGTGCGTGGTCACCCACCTGATCCATCCATCCACCCGCCTCGCCTCCCGTGCATGTCGGGTTGTCATTTGTCATCTCTCATTTCTTCCCTTCCGTCTACCCGCCTTTGTCACCCCTCATATCAGATCCATCACCAAGTACCATCTTAAACCTCGAGTGTCAAGTGTTCAGTATCAAGTGTCAATTTCATACATAGTTACCCTACTTCATATCATAATCTTGTGATTCATTATTTCTTACCTCACAATCCACCACATATCAAGAACAGTCAAAGGCATCACCTTCCATTTCAACTTACCTCTTTCAACCACCATCCGACATCCAACCTTCAACCTGGACCATGGACGAAACTGAAACTTGGTCAGCACCACCTTCCCCACCATCCACTTCTTTCCCTTCCCCAACTCCCATGATCACCACTTCTCAATTCCCCATCAACTCTCCACATCCTTCTTCTCTATCTCTCGATCCGACATCGCAATACATAGGAGGAACAAATTCTCGTTCTCCGATGTCACTCGATACACCTTTACAACTTCCCGTAGGTGCAGGAATGGGTATGATACCACATTCAGGTTTACGTCCTCCTACTCCTGCCGCCAGTCCTAGCCCTTTACCGTTGTTGGATCAAATGATGGGGTTGAATATGAATGAACACCTGGATCCATTGGACAGGAAGGTGGGAGATTACAATGAACATGCGAGGGAGAGAGGATGGAAGGAGAGATGGAAAGGAAAGGGCAAGGAATATGAAGCGGAGGTGGATATGACCGGTGAGTGGGAGATTTCTATCAAACATCAATGTCACTTCTTTAACACCAATCCCAGTATAGCATCGTGTAACGACTACTGCATCTTTTCTGCAAAGTCCAAATGGAGAAGTCGAAGAATGGAGAGAAAGAGTCACGTTAGATTGAGATAATTTTATCGTAATCTATTCCAATAACTCATCTTATCTCGTTGTAGAATATCGCTAACACCTAATGTTGTTTGTCTCACATATCGACATATCAACATGTAATCTGCGTCCATTTTCCCAATTCTGCAATGTTTTCACAAATCGCCTTCAAATACCAACCTCTCCTTCCAACACACTGCTTCTCCACTTATGCTCATCCCCCCACTCATTTATACCCCACCTCTTCCTGATATTTCTCGCATCGATACCGTCCTTACCATGTCTCCACACTCGTCTACCCCCGATGCTTCCAACATCACCATCGGAACATTACTACGACTTGTACGACCAAACGTCTTTCGCCGTTCCGCCAAAATGCTCAAACGACTCAAAAACCTCACTCGATGCTCAAAATCCAAACGTGCGGACCATCTATTCCATCGCCGATCGCATTCTCATGGGGGTTTCGAAAATGATTTTGGGTTGGGACATACAGACGTGAATGAGATGATGGGAAAATTCAAGTTGTTGTCAAAGGGTCAAAGATTTGCTTTTTTGTCAACTCTCGTACCGGAGTTGTTATTACCCGAAGCTTTGGTAGTGGCAAGGAGGATTGATCCGAGATTGAAGAGAGACTTTTTGAAGGATCTGCCATTGGAATTGTCGTTGCATTGCCTGTCTTTCGTAAGTCTTCTTAACTTGCTCTTCACATCCGTCTCTGTTCCTGTAATCATCTTGCTCCAGTTTCTGTCTTTGGCAGTTGAAAATCTTCAGCAACTTTCTTTTCATCCTTGTGAAATCTACTCATCTCCCCCCGCCCCCTGTTCATCCTTCACATACCACCCGTGTTGACTATGATACTGTCACCAAGAGTCAGAATGAACAATTTTCAACCTCACACTTACAAATAGGTCGAAGATGCTCGTACTCTTGCCCGTGCCTCTCAAGTATCCCAATACTGGTACGCCCTTCTACAAGACGAAACGACATGGAAACATATGTGCACTCGCACTCGATTCTTCCCTCTCGTCTCACCTTTCCCCTCTCACTCATCACACTCTCGCACTTCTCGTCGATTCGATAATCCTTTCGTGTCCAGAGTCCCACATTCCAATTTGAGATTGCAGATGGGAAGAGTGTCTTTGAACCCCTTGGCCCAGAATTTCATTACGACTCCTAGGTTTGCGCGTTTAGCAGAGTTAGGATCTGTTAGACCAATGTCACCTCCTACGACTCCAAGGAGTTTCAAACAGCAGTTCAAGGACGCTTACCTCACAGGTGAGTACTGTCAATTGTACTCTTCCCGCATGCCCTCCCTCTCACCATGGACTTTCCCCTTCCCCCTTCTTCTCGCCACTTCCCCCACATTCAATCGATTGCAACCTTGTCGAATCCCATGTCGAGAAACAGATGCTTACATCAGAATCCAACTGGTTGACCGGCGGGCAATTGATCGCATCTCACAAACACACCGACGACGGTGTAGTCACTTCTCTAGCTATCGATGACACCTTCATCGTTGTCGGTATGGCGAACAGTCAAATAGAAGTATACGATTCTCGTACGGGTGCATGGCTCAACAGTCTCAAAGGACACGAAGCAGGTGTTTGGGCTTTAATGTTGGTCAGTCCACATCGAAGACCTCCGCCAACTCCTCCTATTCCACAGGAACAATCATATGTCACTCCTCAAGACTTGCACTCCAACTCTTTGACCTCCCCCTCTACATACAGGGAAGAAGGACGTTCTCGACGAGCATCATTTACCGCGGCTACTTCTCAATCTGCCCGACATGCACCGACCGGAGGTCCGAGTTCGAGAGGCATTCAAAGACCTAATACCACCCTGGGTGTGGGTGAAGAGAACAACAGATCTGGGACTTACACAGGGAAGAAACCTGTTCAGAGTGATCTTTGCGGTGCGGCTATGGGATATGGATCTGATAAACATTTGGTGGTTTCTGGAGGATGTGATAGGAATGTCAGAGTTTGGGATGCGAACACAGGGTGAGTTATGGTTTTCCATCACTTATCATCAACCCATTTTCTTGATCTCCTCCGTCGGTATTGCATATCTTCTCTGGCTATCGTGCCATACCCATACACCTCTTTGGCATTCATTTCATCCTCTCACATCTAGAGCGTCACTACAGTATCACCGTGACTGAGTCATCTGCTCTGTCTTGTATCAGTACAATTACTCATAGATAGACAATGCCTTCATGTTCTCCGAGGTCATTCTTCCACTGTTCGATGTCTCAAAGTCATTGACGGCAAACCATTGGCCATCACCGGTTCACGCGATTGGACACTGCGGGTGTGGGATATAGAACGTGGCAGATGTGTACATATCTTGCAAGGGCATCAACAGAGTGTGAGATGTGTTGAGGTAGCTGGGAATATAGCTGCAACGGGGTCCTATGATTTTACCTGTCGAGTGAGTTGATTTACAATGACTTTCACATTCCACTGTCCTCATCTTATTGTGACAAGGTGCAGCATGATTGTATTCTATCGTTCGTGGCATCAGCACATGGTGACGCAACATTGTATGAAAAGTCTGTCGCATTGATTGAAGTCGAGTGAGAAGCTGTGCAGTGACTGACATGCAGTTATGGAATGTCGAGACGGGACAATGTCTTCGAGTTCTCGTAGGACATTATCACCAAATCTACGCCATTGCCTTTGACGGGGAAAGAGTCGTCACTGGTAGTTTGGATTCGACCGTTAGGGTATGGGATGCGGCTACTGGGTGAGTTGCTTTACCGTTTTTCAATTCACCTTCCTCCATCAACACTCACCCTTTACGCCGACTGTCTAATCCTCAATCAGACCAGAATCGTTTTTTGTCTTTATGATCATGCAAGCTACATATGTGAATAATCACACTGATGACAGAACATGCATGGCCCTACTACAAGGTCATACCTCCCTCGTCGGTCAATTACAACTCACCTCTGATACACTAGTCACCGGTGGTTCCGACGGTCGTGTGATCATATTCGACCTCACAACCCTCACTTGTCTTCACCGTCTTTGCGCACATGACAATTCCGTCACTTGTCTTCAATTCGATGATCGTTATATCATTTCAGGCGGTAATGATGGTCGTGTCAAATTATGGGATATGAGAACTGGAGCTTTTATCCGTGAACTCACAAGAAGATGTGATGCGGTTTGGAGAGTTAATTTTAGGGATGATAGATGTGTCATCTTGTTACAAAGAGGTGGAAGGACTGTATTGGAGGTTTTAAGTTTTAGGGCGGGTGAGAAAGGTGGAGAGAGGATTACGACTTGAAGTTTTATCGTGTTTCTCCCTAATGGTGTGAGGGTGTGTAGGTGTGCAGGTTGTGGTGCAAGATGCTTTTATAATTGTCAGACAAGATATGTTTTGTATTTCAGTACGTGTTGTATTTGCTATGCTAATTGTTCGTCAAATTCTTTTCTTTGATCGCAACCACAATGCCAACACCACAACTGAGTCTATGCAGGTGGGATCTGTGGCCTTCCTGGTTCACATTTCACAATACGTACGAAATTGTTCACACGGTCCTGTGAGTTGTGGGTAGTACCCACTCCACCTATCCATCTGAACCTCAACACCTCATACGGAGTTCGAGCACCCTACGTATCCCGATCTCACGGAAGAAAGGACCAAGATCCGTCCGTCGTGAAGAAGACGAAAATGGGGGGTTCTTTTCCCATTCCCACCATTCCTACCATTCCATAGAAACCCCCACTCTTCCATCGATTTCAAAGTCCGTATGGTTATGACCCTACTCATATAGAAACCCAGATTTTCACTTTCGATCATCTAACTATCTTGAGTACTTAAACCTACCCGATTCTATTCCCTGATCAATTCGAACAATAATCATGGAACCAGGTCAATACTACTACTACTTACTCGTATTCCACCACACCCACAAATGACTTATACTCGCAGAATTTTGTCTTGCCCACATGGTCCCCTTCCTCTGATCAGACTGAAGTTAACCCTTCTAGCTTCCCGGCGTTGCAAGGAAGTTACAACTACATTCACCCAGAAATCCATCCTCCCACTCCTAAGCATACTTCAACAATCGACCCTTACAACCAAGCAAAGGAAGGAAAGGTAACAACATGGTGTATTCCAAAACCTTTGGAAAGTATCACTGATCCAGAAAAATCGTTTTCACCTTCTTTATTAATACTTGATGAGCCTAACACCAACACCAACACTACGAGTACTTTAAACACTCCTCAGATCCCTGACTTTTCTAATTGTGGATACCAATCGACGAATTTTGGTGAGTTCATTGAACCGAATGTATCACCGACTTTTGTAAAGATGAGAGATGAAACGACGCTTGGTTTCTTAGCTAGGTCATTGGGATATGATGAGAATGATTTGGGAAAATTGTTACTTGATTCATGGGTATCTCAAGAGTGAGTTTTTCAACTCTTTAACTCTTTCATTGCCATAAATGTATTTAGACATTTTACAAAGACAAAGACAAAGACTTAAAGGGAGTTTCTTATACTTTACATCAATTTATCATATTTGATACTTGGTTTCAAGTAGGGGTTTGGAACGAGTTGTCAATTTTTTTTGTTTTACTTGATAATGAAAGATGAATGACGATAGCTAATCAATCTTTAGGAAAAAAGAAGCTCTAAATCAATTGAAGTATAGGATGATTGGAAATGAAGAACAATGGGAATTGGCTAGAACAGAAGCTGAACGAAGAGAATTAAAAAGACATGTTAATGATCATGCTATACGTCGATTATCTCGATTGATAGATTGTTCAGAACAAATGATATTATCTTATCTTAGAGGGAAAATGGAAGACGTTGATCTGTTAGTACTCTACTCTACTCCTACTCTCCCTTTAATCTGATCATATTTCTTATTCCATTCAAGTGAAATCACGCCCTTATGATAACTCATCATCAATATCATTCCATGAGAAACTTCAACTTCCCTATCACCTCCTCTATGACCCCCTTTTGAACTCTCATTATCCTTGATCTCGATTGTCCCTATAATCAACGACTTCGATAATCCCCTATGGGACAGCTCCGGGGGTAGGACCCCTTGATATTCATATCAAAAGATTGTCCAAGTTGAAGGACTCTTGATCTAAGTTACACGATGAGAAAACTGATTTCTCAGATCAACGACAAAATCACTCAACAAGTTCAGAGATGATCCTCATAAATTCATCCAAGACATTTCTTTATCGACTCCACCCGCATCTCTTCTCATCCCACTTGATCAATGTCTTACCGCAGCTGTTAGTCAAGCTGCTTATCTAGAATGGAGGGCTCAATTCGGAAATCAATTATCTGCCAAGTCATTCTATGCAGAACCTATTCCTGATCGTAAGCGTGATAAACCCGAAAAACCCAGACCGAAACAGAACCACACTGAAATCACTGGGAAAAGTACTAGGCTTACGTCGGGTGGAAGAAGAGGAAAGACCAGAAGTAGTATTGATTCTCGATCTAAAGCTCAGAAACAGGCTGAAGACGTATTTTCTGTGAAAAGCAATGTACACCTCAGGCGTTGAGATGGGGTAAGGAAATCGAATGCTTGTTCTGTTATGTGACAGAAACTACCATCACCAAACTACCGACCTTATCTTGCTTATACTTCCGACCTTATTCAACTTATGCTTGTCAGTTTATGTATGAGAACAATACACGTTGACATTACGGAACCTCTGTCCTGTCATCAAATGTCTTCCACAGTTTTGAACAAACATTGGTAAATGTTACCAAGAAGTGTTTTGCTACTTTGTACTATGACATTCCTTCCCCGAGCCATGAGTGTCTCACTCGGCTAAGCAATCTTACCTGACTCGGTGACATTTGGCACTGCCTCTCCCCTTCTTCCGTACTACCATGTCTCACTTTGCAAGGTACTCTATCTATGTATCAGTCGTATCAGCAACCAAAAGTCATTGACTTTCTCCTCGAATCATCCACTGGATCAGGTCTCGTTCTCACAAAACATATGTGTGTGCTGATGTCTTTTGAATGTCTCACGGTGTTGATCATGTCTCACTCTGACGATCATGTCTTACAAACTTTCAGTTCAAACACGTCATCTGCTTCCCGCATCTGGTAACATGTACTTGAGCCTTACAGGTGTACGCTTATACAGGACGAGGTCGACATATCTTCAAGAATACATATTGTAACAAGTGTTTCTGTATTTGATATAGAGATCGATTTCAATTCAATCCTTGTTTCTCCAATACCAATAATCGGTCGAACGTATCTTTGATAGTTTCTTCCCAAGGGCGATCTATTTGTCAGATCGAAGTACGATACTTAAAACCCAATCACACTCACATTCCAATCCCAACTCCGTTTTGCTCTTCTCATTACTCAATTTGTACACGCCAGGTTCCTCAAATTCGTATTCTCCCGGATGTCCAATAGGGATTCTATGGCTTTCCTCAGGGTACCATTCCCTCACATCATCAGCGATTTGCTGATATGAGAATGCTATTTGTTAATCTCTTTCCTTTCGAAGATCATAAAATACTTACGTGATGCGGCAAGGATGAATCGACCTTGAGATTGTTTCATGATTGCTTGATAATGAGCTTCAGCGGCATCTCTGACCTGAGATATCAACATTATTCTTCGTTGTGTATCTCTAGAAATGACTCACGTCGACATAGTAAGGGAAAAGTGTGTCCATGATGGGAGCTTCTTTACCTCCGAGAATCATATACATGAATTCTGTTGACATACCACCTTTACTCAATGAAGAAAGAGGTTGGACTGGTAGAATCAGCGATGATGGTGTTTTGAAGGAAGAGGAGGAGACGTACTGGGTGGACCCCAAATCATTGTACAACACATGGTTGCAAGTGACCATTTCGCTTTTTTCTGGATTTCCCAAGCAGCCAATTCGGCGTATTTCTTTGCACCCATGTAATAGAGGTAACCGGCGAGGAAAGCTCCATTTCTATACGTAAGTAAGATCTGGTCAAATCTACCAAAACGAGTCCCGTGAGGTGAACGAGGTAGTCAGGAAGAAAAGGAAATGATCAAGGAACAAAGACTTACCCTTCGGAATTCTCAGAACTCATCTTCTCCAATTCTTCAATGGTACATGGATTCCAATTTTCTTCATTGACCAATTTACCCGCCTGAGCAGTCGGATGTTTTCTGTGATCTCCTACAGCACCTGAGTTTTAGTTGACAGATTCAAATCGCCCACGAAGAGGGGGGGGGGACAAAGATGTGATAGACAAGAGGAGAAATACGTGCTTATGGAAAACAGAGTGATTATACATACCATATGTACTTGTCATCACGACAGCTTTTACACTGTTCTCTTCCGCTGCAGCCTCTAAAACACCTTTCGTTCCATTAACAGCTGGTATCATGTAATCTTTTCGAAAGTCTGAACCTTCAAACTCGACCGGACTGGCTACGTGCGCGACAGCGTCAACACCTGCATATCAGTACCTCTTCGCTATGCCACGGAAACCCAGATAGATAAAAGAATGTTGACGTAAAAGTGCACGGTAGATCATGATGATATATTATAGAAGGACGGTTGACATACCTTTGATGGCTTCCGAATAGTCACCGCTCTCCAAAGGACCGGTAATGTAAAACTCAAGCATTCCCTTCTCGATATACGGCCTAAATTCTGGCATTTCATTCAGAGCCTGTATCTTCGATTTGGATCTTAGAGTACCGCGGACATTCCATCCTCCTTCGAGGAAACGAACGGCGGTATGTGCTGCGAGCTATATGTCAGCTCACGTACAAGTGTCAGATGGATGAACTCACGAAACCTGTAACTCCTGTGATAAGCACGGTAGGCATATCTGAAGTAATTGATAGATACGTGTAAGTGTGAGGTAATGAGCAGGGGTGAGATTTAAGAGCTCTTGGAATTGTGGATGAGTGATTCCTGTCGTCGAAAAATCAATCTTCTTATATCTTCAACATCCCTCCACTTCACCTCCACTTCCTCCTCCACTTGTCATGAATCTCCTCCACCATAAAGACGTCACAACTCCACCACTGATCACTTCAAGATCCCATACCTCCACGTCTTGGCAATAGTGACCGGCGGTCTTGAGAACGTGTAGATTTTACGAGAGTTCTTGTCACTCGGTAAAAGTCAAGTGTCTGATGACCCGGTTGAGGGGATGATGTGAACCACGCCGCGATCGTCGGGAAGAAGGTTTTGTTTATCCTTGTCCGTTCAGGCACGCCGAAGTACCTGATACATGATACACCGCCTTTGGCGGATCATATGCGCGGAAAGTTGGGAAAACCGAAGCCCGTGGGACGGTATGGCGATGCATCAAAGTCTAGTAAAGTCAGGCTTGATTCCGTGAGAGGGAGTGTGCAGCTGAACAAAGCTTTAGCCCCAAGGGGATAAGGGGAGAACCTCCTGATGAGCCACTCCAAGCCTCCGATTTGATTTGGTCAAAACATCCGCAAGTTCCTCCGCATGGACACATCGGCCATCGACTTATATACTCGTAACCTCAGCATGATCTCAGTTGATAGACATTACTGATCCCTTCCCTCTCACTCCTCTTTTCTCGTTCGTCCCCATTGACCAATTTCTACTAATCCTCTCATTCAATCCTCATTGCCATCAACACGAATCATGAAATACACAAAAACTTCCGTAGCTCTCGCCGTTATCGGTTTGAGCAGTAGGGTATTGGCTCAATACACCGCCACATACTACCCTGGCAGTGAACCTGACGAGACACAAGAGGGTCAATACGGTACCAACCAATGTGGAACGACAGCCAGTCAAACGTCGAAATGTCAAAACGCATTCATCAACTCTGCCGACGATTTTTGTCTCTGGGGACCACCCGACAGCACATCACCCCTCGGAGACGGAACCAACAAGATTGGTAATGTTGAGGAGATCGTTGTTAGGTATGTCTTATCCTTCACTTATCACATCCTCTTCATCTCGATTACGATTCAAGATAATGTATGGGATCTGTGCGTGCGAGAACCCTCGATATCTAGCAAAGTGATGAACGCAATGCCGTCCTTTTTCTGATCAGACTAAACTCAAAGGGGATAGATAGCTGATCCGTCAGTTATTGCTTGAAGGACGGTTATGGCACTCGAATCATTCCTTCTGGTACCCTCACCGGTGCTCACTTCGTTAAAGTGGTCAATGATCAAGTCTCTTATGTGCAAGTCACCGGTCAAGGGGACGTGCGTCTATCTTTTCAGGTTACTATCCTTTCAAGCTGACCTTTCAGATGACAAAAATGGGTTTGTATCCGGGGGATGATGGTGGTGAATTGGACGTGAGTCATTCGCTCTTCGAGACATGTCGACAGGCGCTGACATGTAGCCGCATTGTATGTTTTCTGCCATTCTCGCTCGCACACTCAAACAACTTTCATCCCTGCTTTTCACCGCTCAGGAACCGGCTGGTTGAGGATCAATTGGTAGGATTGTAGCTGATGAGACAGCTTGGACCGGTCTAGGTAACCCACAAGGTGGTGTGGTCTTCACAAATGCCTTCACCGGGAATTACGAGCAAACCCACGAATGGACATCTTTCATATCCCCCGTCGATTTTTGTTTCAGAGCCTGTCGTGATGGACCCAATGCTGCTGGATGGTGCGAACATATCTATGATACCTGTGAGTTACCAAACAAGCCATTATGAGGTACGTTGGTACTAATCGTTCAGTGGGATGTTCATTCACTATTCCCGGTGATATGGTAGGTCTCCCTATCTATACCTTTTCATATTTGGGGAGGAAAAAACGCTGACATGAAAGGGTAGCGGTTTCGATAATTGTGACTCAGATCCTGCTCTCCAACCCGGTGTCTACGATGGAGCCACCTTCAATCAAGGTGACCCTACCACCCCAGCCCCTCATCCGGCAGCAGCGACCTATCAATGTACCCCGTTCGCCTCCGTCGGTGGAGGTACCGCCAACTTAGCCGCAACACCTTCTTCAAGTGCATCAGCTTCAGGAAGCTCGGGTAGCGGAAGCATGGTCTCAAGTACATCCATGAGCATGTCATCGGCCTCTTCGATGTCAAGCAGCATGAGTAACAGTTCGAGTTCAGCGTCGATCACAAGCCGAGCTTCGTCAATGACTACCATGAGAAGTACGACGAGTAGTCGAGCTTCGACCTCAAGTACTAGTGCAAGCGCAAGTTCGACCGCAGGCTCCGCCTCGGTCAACGTTGGGGTTTCCGGTTTGACATGGTTGGTCGCAGGAGTGATTGGAGGTGCCGCGGCTATGATATAAAAGGGGGTTTCCATTCGATGATCCACGGGAGAGAGTTATGATTCGCATGATTTCTGCATATGAGGACACTTTATGGACATTTAAATATTGTTTCTGTCTAGGTCGAGATGTATGGACACTGCATCTTCATCTGCCCATTCTTTGCTGTGAAATGCTTGCTGCAGCCAACCTTTCTGCAGCATACCCCGCGGAGATGGCCGCGTTGCCGGGTTCGGCCCGATGACAGCCGGAGACCATCACTCCTCCACCTTCCTGGTAACTACGACATGTATGTATCTTCTCCTACTCGACGACCAAGGCAGCTACGAGCATTGGGAATATGGGGATATCTGCCCCAGTATGGAGCTATGATGTCGCTCCGAGATTGATGGGATGTGTCAGACAAGGTGAGCATTCCACCTTTCAGCATCGACGCGATCACTACTGACCTCCACTTAGTACCCCACCTATTTCCCCCTCGTCACCTTAGGACCTTTTCCACCTCCAGACCTCGATCAGAAGCATCCTCAACCACCTCAGCATCCCCTCCACTCCCTTCGGGTGTACCATACTCCCATCTGACAGTCGGCGTCCCACGAGAGATATTCCCTAATGAACGTCGAGTATCCGTCACCCCTCAGGGCGTATCGACGCTTCTCAAAAAGGGATTTTCAAAAGTACTCGTTTCCCCAGGTGCAGGTGCTGAAGCTTCATTTCGAGATGAAGATTACTCCAAAGCAGGAGCTACTCTCGATTCCAACCCTTTCCTTGCCGATATCGTTCTGAAAGTCCGGCCGCCCATGCTAGACGGGGGCGAAGTGGATGCCTTGAAAGACGGTTCGACACTTATATCTTTCCTCTATCCCGGTATCAATACTGAGCTTGTGGAGCACCTCAAGAAGAAAGGTGTGACAAGTTTCGGGATGGACGCTATACCTCGTATTTCTCGTGCTCAAGTATTCGATGCTTTATCAAGTATGGCAAATATTGCCGGGTACAGAGCAGTTCTCGAGGCGAGTAACGCTTTTGGAAGGTTTTTGACAGGTCAAACTACGGCGGCAGGGAAGATACCTCCTGGTAAAGTTTTGGTGATCGGTGCTGGAGTGGCGGGATTGAGTGCCATCACCACAGCTAAAAGGATGGGAGCGATCGTGAGGGGATTTGATACTCGTCCGGTTGCAAAGGAACAGGTGGAGAGTTTAGGAGCGGAATTTCTCACCATAGACATGGAAGAGGATGGGAGTGGTCAAGGTGGATACGCCAAAGAAATGTCAAACGTGGGTTAAGTCATCTATTGAAAGTGCGGATAGCTGATATGACAGGCTTTTCTGGAGGCGGAGATGGCTTTGTTTTTGCAACAGTCCAAGGAAGTAGATATCATCATTACAACTGCTTTGATCCGTAAGCTTGTCGATACTGAAGAAACTTCGCTGAGGATGCAGCCGGTAAACCTGCTCCGAGGTTGATCACAAAGGAGCATGTAGAGGCCATGAAACGTGAGTTACTGAAAGCTTTTTCATCTGCAACGGTTTCGTGCTGATAGTCAGCCGGCTCGGTCATTGTCGATCTCGCCGCCGAGACGGGTGGGAATTGTGAGCTGACTACGCCTGGGGAGAAGGTGGTGTATAATGGAGTGACCATTCTGGGATATACCGTATGTCTTCCCCTTCCCATTCTCGGAATGCAAAGCTGAACGATACACAGGATCTGCCTTCCCGCCTATCAACACAATCGAGCACCTTGTATTCTAACAACATTACCAAGGTGACCTTTTACTTTCTGTTCAATGCTGTCAAGCTGATTCTAGTTCCTTCTATCAATTGGATCGGATGGACACTACAATATAGATCTCTCCGATGAAGTTGTCCGTCGATCCATCGTGACACACCAACATGAACTTCTCTGGCCTGCTCCTCAAGCTCCAGTCACCTCTGCTCCCATAGCTTCTGCCCCCACACCTGCGAAGCTTGAAACACCAAAGGTTGAGATCACACCCTGGCGAAAATCAGTCAAGGAGGTATCCCTCCTCACTGGTGGGATGGGTACGGCTCTCGCCTTGGGTAAAGCGACCGGACCGGTATTTATGGATCTTTTCACCACTTTGGGTTTGGCCAGTATGGTTGGTTTCAGAGCTGTTTGGAGTGTAACTCCCGCTCTTCATTCTCCTCTCATGTGTAAGCTAGGTTGACTTACCTGAGGATGAGCTTACGGTTGAATAGCGGTTACGAATGCCTTGTCCGGATTGGTCGGAGTAGGAGGTTTATTCGTTATGGGAGGAGGTTTATTACCTCATACATTTCCCCAATTGCTAGGTGCGGCAAGTGTCTTCCTGGCTAATCTTAGTAAGTCTCTCGCACTTATCAGAATCCCCGACTATTCTGGTATTCCTTATCAAAGAAATTCGGTGGGATAGAGCTGATCATGAAAAGACATCTTCGGTGGATTTCTCATCACCAAACGAATGCTTGACATGTTCAAAAGACCTACCGATCCACCAGAGCACGGATGGCTTTACTCTATACCCGCCGCTTTGTTCGGTGGAGGTTTCATCTACGCTGCCAGTAGTGGATTAGGAGGGTTAGTATCAGCCGGTTACTTCATCAGCACTATGCTCAGTGTCGGAGCATTGACTGGATTATCATCACAGGTCCGTTCTGCATCTCCGCTATCACCTTCCATATTCACCTCAGTGTAAGACTTAGGCAGGAAACAAACCCGGAGTTTTTGTCTGTCGAGTGTCATTTTTCCTTGAGCCTAGCTCACATACAGACCACCGCCCGAGTAGGTAATGCTCTCGGTATGATAGGTGTCTTTGTCGGTCTTCTCGCCACTCTCGCTGCAGTCGGTTTCACTCAAGAACAACTCGGTCAATTAGCCATCCTCGTGACCCTTGGAGGTGGTCTAGGTCTCGCCATAGGTCGACGTGTTTCTCCCATGCAATTACCACAAACTGTTGCCGCTTTACACAGCGTGGTCGGATTAGCGGCTGTGATGACCTCCGCTGGGAGTGTCTTGGAAGGTCACACTTCTCCTTTACATCTCACTACGGCATATCTCGGGGTTCTCATCGGCGGTATTACCTTTACCGGTTCAATCGTCGCTTTCTTAAAACTCGCAGGAAGAGTCAGTTCGAGACCTACCATCTTACCCGGTAGACATCTAATCAACTCCTCTTTGTTAGCTGCCAATGCGATCTCGATGGGGACGTTCTTGACTATGGCACCGACTGCACCTGCCATCGGAGCGGCTTGTTTGGCAGCGAATGCAGGGTTGTCTTTCTTGAAAGGTTGGACAACTTCAGCTGCTATCGGTGGTGCCGACATGCCGGTTTTGGTTACTGTTTTGAACGCCTACTCTGGGTTTGCATTGGTGGCGGAAGGGTTCATGTTGGATAACATGTTGTTGACTAGTGTGGGAAGTTTGATTGGGGCGTCGGGGAGTATTTTGTCGTATATCATGGTGAGTTGTCGCCTCCCCCCCCCCTCTTCCCAAGGGTCCCGCTTCTCTCGTAGTATCAGAGGAGAGTCGATGGTCTCCGTTGGAGGCAAGCCCGAGGAAAGGACGATGGAGGAGATCTGGGGAGAGCGTGTAGTTGAAAAGAAGCCCAAGACTAACGCACCAGTGTCGAGCCATGAACAGAAGTCTTGTCAATGTTATCTTCGGCGGTATAGCACCTACAACAGCAGCTGATGATTCTACCAAAGGTTTATCGGTAACTCGGACCAATGTGGAAGAAGTGGTTGACATGTTGACCAGTGCGGATTCCGTAATAATTGTGAGTTCCGAACATCCCTCATTTCCTTCTCCTATGATATCCCGCGATGTTTGTGTTATGGCTTTTTGGTGATTATGTGAACATGGCTAAAGTTTAGGTACCAGGTTACGGTATGGCAGTTGCTAAAGCTCAATACGCAATTTCAGAAATGGTTTCCACTTTACGTTCCAAGGGAATCAACACCCGTTTCGGTATTCATCCAGTTGCGGGTCGTATGCCAGGACAATGTAATGTTCTCTTGGCAGAAGCTGGTGTACCTTATGATGTTGTTTTGGAAATGGACGAAATCAATGATGATTTCAAAGAAACAGATGTTGTTCTTGTCATAGGAGCAAATGATACTGTTAATCCTATTGCTTTAGAACCTGGTTCGGCTATAGCTGGAATGCCAGTTTTAAATGTTTGGAAAAGTAAGGGAGTGGTGGTTATGAAGAGAGGGATGTCATCTGGTAAATCTTATTTGATTTTTCTTCTCAACGAATCATCTCCCTTCATCTCATCATCTTTTGTTGTCGTCAGTCACTCGAGTAATCCATCTATCCTCGAGGTAACTTTGTGTGAACCTTGTGGAGTAGTGGATGGTGGTGACTATAATCGTTGGAAGTGATGAAACAGCAAGAACTAACTTTGTAGGATATGCAGAAGTACCCAATCCCTTGTTCTACTACCCCAACACTAGGATGTTATTCGGAGATGCTAAAGAGACTTGTGAGGCGTTATCGCGTGGTTTAGCATCGAGGAAAGAATAAAAGGAACTCGGTAGAGATTTACGTGTGTTACATTCTTGATATATCTATCCATCCAATTTTGTGGGCTATTTGTATGCAATCATCAATGTAAATGTCATTACAGCTCTAGCTTTTTATGGACCAAGCCACAAAATATTACATGTTTTGTCTTCGCTACCAGTAAGTAGTTCGTTCAACGCCAAGACTTCCTCGGCCCTCGGTTGTAACTGTTCGGCGTCGGCGTGATTATCTCAGAATCTTCGGACATTTGCATCTTACTCCGTATCGGCGATCGGTGGTCGGAACCCACCGTCGAATCCGGAGTCCTTCAGTACACACATATATATATGTATGTACATACAGGAAAGTTGATCCACGACTACCCTCTGAATTATAGTCATATAGAATGTCTACTATCGTACTTGTAACAGGAGCCAACACCGGGTTAGGTTTAGAAATCGTACGAGCTCTATTTAATTCTTCCGTCACTTACACCCTCATCTTAGCTTGTAGATCGTTGGACAAAGCCATCAAAGCGATTGAGTTAGTCAAGAATGATTATCCTGAGAGTAAATCCGAAGCATGGGGTGTAGAATTAGATGTGGAAAATGATGAGAGTATCAAAAATTGTTTTGAGGTTGTGAGTGGAAAAGTGGATAGGTTAGATGTGCTTGTGAATAATGCAGGTAAGTGGTTTTCCTCTTCTTTTTGTTGTTGGCTTCTTCCCTTCACCATGATGATGAAGTTCATCATGGCCTTTAACTTATCACCATCTTCTTCTATAGTATCAACTTTCATACACAGTACTTTCGGATACTCATCTTCGTTTCCTATCCCGATATTGATATTGGTTGCCTTGTTTTATTTCCTCTCTTCCTCATTCTCACACGACCTAGTCTGAAGGGACAAGAGTGGGAATGTCGGTCAACACTTTGAAGATACATCATCATCTTTTCTGCTCCCTAGGTTACCTTGAATGTAACAGAAGAGAGGAAGAGTGAGAGAGACGAGAATAAGAGAGAACGAGAGTAAAGAGGTAGAACTCACCCCAGGCGCTCAATTCGATCTCGCCCTCCGAGACGACACCATGTCCATTCGAGAGATATGGAACAAAACTTGGGATATCAACGTGACCGGTACACATATCGTGACTCACACATTCGCTCCTCTTCTTCTATCTTCCCACTCTCCAAGATTGTTATTCATCACCTCTGGTGTTTCTTCACTTTCCGCAACGGAGGATTCAACACTTCCTCTTGATCGCCCACCTCCCCCAGGATGGCCAAAGGATGCGCAATTGATCGATTTTCCCGCTTATCGATCGTCTAAAACCGGAATGAACATGCTTGTACGTCAATGGACACGGTTGTTGAAGGAAGATGGAGTCAAGGTTTTTGCTGTCAGTCCGGGTTTGTTAGCTACTGGATTAGGAGGGATGGGGGCAGATATGATGAAAAAGATGGGCGCGGAGGATCCGAAAGTAGGTGGAGAGTTTGTGAGGGATGTTGTGGAAGGGAAACAGGATGAGTTTACAGGTAAGGTTATTCGAAGAGCTGGTGTGCAACCTTGGTGAGAATGAGCGAGGGAATTTTGCACAATGTGGGGGTTGGAAATGAAACTGGGATTGGAATTGAGACCGGAAGTAGTAGGATGCATTCTTTAACAACTTGAAATTCGAATAAGACAACGTGAGGTAGAGGTCCAAAAACTGTAGCAGTAATAAACGGTCGTGAAGATTGGCCCAAAGTATGGAAAGCAAATTTCGAGTGTAGATCACAGTCACGCCAAGGAGCCCTACGGGATTAGCAATGAGTTGTTGACGAACGCATCCATCAACTTACCATAGGGTCCCAAGGTTTGAGCACGACGGCCTTTCCACCGTCCAAAACAGCTGTCCATTTCTTGTCCGCAACACTGCGAGGGATCACCACCTGAACATCAGTCAATCATTACTTTCCCGATGATTGACACTCACTTGATATACATACTCGCGGAACCATTGAGCGGTCATCATGAACCACCCTTTCTCTCCTGCACTTTCCGACCATGAATTCTCTACCTTGTACCTTACAGGACGGCCGTTATCATCCACATGTACGGCGGTGATCACCATAGCGTGAGTCATCTGGAGTTTAGCTAATTCCTTGAACATAGCAAAATCATATCTACCGAACTTTCTCCAGATTCCAGACGCTGAGCTTTGGTCATACCCAAGTTGAACCCGTAGGCCAGCTTGAGATTGTACAGCTCGCAATCCATCACACCTTCTTTGGTGTTGGAGCATTTACCCACATCACAACCAAAAAAAAGAGGGGTATTCGCTTTGATACCTGCGATGACTGCATCTTCGAGAGCTTCGATGGGTGCGTTGACATCTATAAATTCAGCGAAGTCCGATGTCACGGACTCTCAAAGCCACGATGTCTGTTTTTACATACACATCTACGATGCTGCGTGGGAAAGTCGAACACTCACACTGGACAGGTCTGCCTCCCCAGACATTTCCCAATCTTTCCACAGTGTATAACGTTTCGTAGCTGTTCCTCGGGTCATTGATGAGACTGAACGACGATTTCGGCTGCATCCCTTTCCTTTTCGCGAATGCATCGTAAAACTCAACTGGGGTTCCAGTCCAGGAATGGAATTTGCCAGCTTTGTCGTTATACTCCCACGTGAGCTTCTCCGTCGGTTTCGGTGGAGAACCGAGGGTGATGGACAAAGCGGTGAACACCTCGGACATCATTCGAGATTTCAACTTTCTGGCTTCTCCTGGAGAAGCTGCACGAAGGATGAGACCGTATTCGCGAAGTTTAGACGTAAGGAGAGAGTCAAGTCTGGAGGAAGCGGATGACGACCAAGACTCGGGGTAAAGAGTCTGAGGGATGACACCGTATTTCTCTAGTCTGTCAGCCTCTACCTACGTTCGCTTCTGAACAGAAATCACTAATTCAGTAACAAGGCAGGAGTAAGAGGGGTGAAGGAGAGGGATCAAACAAGAGGCCGCGCACCGATGATGTTGACGGCCATGTCCCACTGTCCACCATCATTCACGGGAGCTGCGTTGAGGTAACTCATGAGCCTGCCCTCCAAGGGTTCATCCACTAATTGAAGTACATTCCTGGAGATCAGTTGGATTTCCAACAGAAAGGTTGTAGACTAACTCAAGGTAGTAATTGGCCTTCTCAAGCTTATCATAGAAGAACAAGTAACTTTGAGAAAGCTGAAAGTCGCCCAAACCCAATACCTCAATAACATTGTATCGCAACACATTGGCTGTTCATCTTAGCCTCTTACGATGAGAACCACCATTAGATGATGACTTACTCGTTGCAAAGAGCCAACATCGTCCACTACTCGCTTGATTGACTCTGGGTCCAGGGTATTCACCTTTGAGAGTCAGGTTGAACACCTTCGCGTCCTTGATAAGTGCTTTGCGAGAGATAAGGGTCTGCACGGGGTCCGAGTTACTCAAAACCAATCGGGATAGCTGCAAAGATGGGTCCTGAGCCTCAGCAACACTCTATAGAGAGACGGGGTACGGCCTACATTGTCAATTTTGGATGACCAAGACGCCAACGCGTCGACAGGGACGCTAGCCCACACTGGTTCGTCGTCGCTGACGTAGGGTGGGGGGGAAGAGAGATAGGTCTGTTTCTCCTGCACTTGGAGGAGCTGAGCTGTAGCGGAAGAGACTGATGGGACAGCCTTGGACGCAGTGGACCCCATGATGAGGAGGTGAAGTTAGACTTAGAGATGGGTTAGGTACAGTACATATATTCCTACGGCGATAAGGGCTGGGCCAGTCGGTCAGTCGGTCAGGGGCGCATGACCCGACCGGTTGCCGATTGCGCGTAGGGATAATCCCCCCACCTCTTGAATTATTTTCACCCCATTTTTGCAATTCATCCGAAAAACCCCCCACTCAACCCGTTATTCACCCCACTCCTTCCACATTACCATCTTGGAAGCAGAAAAACCCCTCACTTGTTACTAGAACCTCCTACCATGGCTTGCTGCATATCTTCTGACTCCCAGGGGTCTACACTGTCCATAAATGTGTGAATTCGCATTATTCGCGAAGGGGTTTATTCATTCACAGTTGAATTCGCAGGCCGGTTCGCACTGACCTTGCAGATCACCCAACTCTCATTTAATGGGCGTATTGACACTCTGGGCGATCTGTGAATAATGCTGTATGCACATTTACACCTCCTGGACTTGCTTGTCACGGCCGTCGAACAACTATTTCTTAATAGACCGACGGTCGACGAACCTCGGCTAACTTCACGCTCTGAGTCGATGTCTCACCCAACCAGGAGGGCGCAGACGTCGAAAGGGGTGTAACTACGGCGTACTTCGGCGTAGTTACTCTAACTAGGGTTTTGTTCTACTGATGGCGATGTATCTTGATTTATAGCTATCTCTATCTGTCTTTCACTACTGACAACAATCAAGGATCGCTGAAGAACTTCAGCGATCTTCTCAGCTAATATTATCTACTCCTCCTAGACGTTCATCCAACCCTCTCGCGCTTTGACGTACTTCAACGCACTTCGTCCAACTTCCCCGAGCCCTCGGCCATCCTCTTCCTCCTTCGACTAACTCCGCCTAACATCACCGCACTTCTGCTCCCATTGTCCCTACTTAGCCTAACTCCGCCTAACATCGCCGCACTTCTGCTCCCATTGTCCCTACTTAGCCTAACTCCGTCTAACTTCGCCGTACTTGGTGTCAGAAGTCCTGAGTTACGTGTAGAGTAAAGAGGTTAAGGCGTGATGGGGTTTTGATGGCCAAAGGAGGGTCATTGTTGGTGGAGTAATCAAGGTGTCACGACGTAGTTCGTGACATTGCTTAGCTACTTATCTCTTCACACATGTTCTCACATACCTCATTTGCATTATAATTTCAATGACACCACGGTCTTTGGCTCATCAACTTGTATTGAACGCTTCAGTAAAGCGAACACCTGGTAGACCAGCTCGAAAATACCAAGATCAGTCCTCAGGAACTCCCACAAAAGTCCCAAAGCGTCAGCTTGGTCAGGATGTCAGTTTAGGTACCGCTAAACCTTCAAAAAAGAGTGGCAACAGTGAGTTTATAAAGTCGTTCGCGAATTATGTTATGTTGATTCTGTACAGTTAACGACCCTTTTACAGAGCAAGATACCTGTGATGTCCTGGAAGCCTTTCACAACTTCCCTTTTCAGGGCTCTGAGGCTCACCAGCTTGAGCAAGAACAGCTGAAAAAACAACAAGCAATTGACAACGATTACTTTGACAATGGTCGTGATGTCCTTGAACAATTTCAGGACTTTGAGTTTATCTCTGACCAACTGGATATGGAAGTAGATCCAGCAGTGGAGAAAGGCCGAGATGGACAGCCAGAGAAGATCAAAGATAAAGAGAAGGAAGAGGAAAGGGAAGGGAAAGAGGGAGAGGGAGAAGCAAGGGGGGCAGGATATGCGAAGAACACTGCGAATCAAGGTCAGAATTCTCTTTACATATTCAGGTGTCCAGTTGCTGAGTCTCTGTAGTCTCTCCTTACCCTGTAAGGCCCCACTCAATCCCCAATCATCCTGTTGGCAACGTTCGCACACCTCATATTCCCCGTTCGCACTTGAGGAAGAGGAAATATGAATCTGATGGTGAGGTCTTCTTCAATCAGTGTATTCTGTTAACCTTTCGCAGTTGTGACACCCAATACCCATGACCCAGGCACTGAAACGGACACAACCACAACATACCTGCCCCCCTCCACCTCAACCTCACACTTTTCAGGCTATGTGACAAGCCTGTCTACCCTTTTGCATCCTCCAACCACGCAAAAGGTTGATTATACCTCAATTCACGAGCAAGCTTTGAGGAATCGAACTATCATTGAACTCGAAAGTACTCAGATTCCACCATCACTCCAGGAGCAGCAGCCATCCACTTTCAACACTGTACGCACAAAAGCCAGCCTCGGTCCTGGCATCACTGCAGTGAAGAACTTCTGTGTGCTTTCTGCGAATGATATTGGTCAGGATGAGCGTTACGAGGAGATTGAGGTAGCTTTTCACCTTATTCCTAAGGCTTTTGACATGATGGTGAGTTATTTATCACTCTGGTAACATTACTGACATCCGTAGACACAGGACTACCTCCTCAGATCACAAAGAGTATCGAACCATGTCAAGGTGGAGTGGTTAGATCCTCCAGGACTTCACCCAAGTGACATTCGCGGACGTCACGCAGTCTTCCATGTCTCAGATGAGGCCTTCGCAAAAGGTCCTGATAAGTTGGTATGGCGCTCGAGGTTCAATTGCAGTGGTAGCTGCCAGCAAGTTCAAGCCCTACCTACCTCACTTCCAGTACAACAACGTCCAAAGAGGAATTTACGAAAACGACAGAGGACAGAGGAAAGGAGTGAGGGGCATGAGGGCAGTGAGGGGAGTGAGGCAAGAAATAGAAACGAAGGGACAGAGGGGGATGAGTGGGCTGAGGAGGATCAGGGGAGTCTCCAAGGCAAAGAGGATCCTGTAGAGACAAAAAGGACCACAATTCGCAAACGCAGATGTCCACTGTGTGTTGAAGTGAGTCATGACTCTTGTATAGAGATGAGTTGAGCTTATTCGCAGGTGCGAATGACTCCTAGAAGCATTCGCAGAGGATATTGCACAATTATCCAGCCGTTACCTTCCTACCATGGGGATCCAAAACCTCTGAGCCTTCTACGGATATCCTACCACATGCGAAATATCCTTCATGACGCTGCGACACTGGTAGGAACAACTGAAAGTCGCCTAAAGCTTCGATGGTTCACCAGTATCTCCAAGCTCCATCCTTATGCGACTTGGTTGTCCGACAATTGTCCTCATAGGATGCCCAAAGAGAGTGACTTTGCAACCGCCATACGAACAGCATTGAGGCAAGACAGACTGGACACTTTACCATTGGCGGCTATTCAAGTCCTCCACTCAGCAAATCCATCAACATCCCTCAGGTGAGTTACATTCGCAGGGCCGCCTGACCCAGGCTGATATCCAGTTGTGAAATCCCTCACAATCTTGTCCTTGGAGGAACTGAAGAGTTTCCCACCAATGCCACTTTCCAATGTGTGATTAGCCCCAAACACGCTCTTCAAACTGCCATTCGCCATGCTCGTGAAAGGGGATTAGCCATGGACTCTTCTTGGAGGAACAAAAACGCAATTCGGTGTCCAGTCACCTTCCTCACCACTGTCAATGAGCACAATCACATGGTGCCAATGGCTGTAATGCTCTCAAATCATGCCACCACCGCGTCCTACACCCATCTCCTCTCTGTCTTTCGAAACGCTGTGGAAGAGGAAGCAAAAGCTCTTGCGAATGGTACCTCAGAGGTCATCAGCGAATTTGAAGACAAGGAGATCATTCTCAATAATGCCATCCTCATTACTGAGGATGGCTTCTGGCCCCTCATGGTCATGATTGATTGTGATGCCGCGGAGCGAAATGCAGCCCACACAGTTTTCCCAGGAACTCCTGTGCGTCTCTGTCAATTTCATTTCATGCATGCAGCAAGGGAAAGGATGGACAGACGGCTTGGACGAACTCAGGTTGGTCGCGAGAAGACATCTAGGTTCCTCTCCGCCCTTCGAAAGTGTCAGAGGTGTGATGTGGAAGAGGAGTGGGAGGAAGTGTATGAAGAGTTTGAGGCAGATGTACTGGAGTTGTTGGACGGGGACGAAGAACATTGGGAGACCATTCGCAGATGGTTAAATACTCAATGGTTCAGCGAAAGCTGGCGCAAATGTCTCATGGATTATGGTCTTCCTCGCGAACACACAAGAGATGGGCCGCTTTCTACCAACAACTTTGTTGAGGCGGCATTCAGGACTTTCGACAGAGTTTTCCTACAAGCCCGAGCCAATAAGCGAATCGATAAACTCCTTGCCGTTATTGTCAACATCTACTTTCCAATGTATCTCTATTCCCCCCCAACTTCTGGTCGATGTGATCCCGACATAACACAAGAGATCCAGAAGGGTCTTGAGATCTGGCAGCTGGGTCAGCTCAAGCGTTGTGATCCGGAAGAAATACCCAGCCGCTTGGAACCTTTGAAAGAAACCTTCACCATTGAGTCCGGCCTGCGAAAGCAAAACGCGCATTACTGTGGAATAAAGAAATCCAGTGCTCGCGAATACTGCTCCTGTGGGTGGTTCCAGTCTAGAGGGAAGAGATGTCGGGGATTATGGGCTCTTCATTGTCTTAGAACCTGTGGAGAGCTAGAGGCATATGAGGGACAGACTGCAGCATATGTAACAGCTTTGCGATTGGGGCTAGGGGAAGGGGTGGGGAATAAGGGAACCACTTCGGCGCAAGCTGACCAGGAGGAACTGCAAAGGTGGTGGGGACACGATCCAACAGAACTTCCCGACCAACAGTGGGATACTACATCGAGACCCAGTGGTTGTTTGTTAGTCAGTATTGATTCAAAAGATCTTGATACAGAAACACCAGCGAATGAGGAAGAGATCGATCCCCCTATAGGTCGACGACATAAAGCTGTGCGTTCTGAGTCAGAAGAAGGCTGCGAGACCCCCAAGGAAAGCAAAGGTCAACCCATACAGCCTAACAAAGGTGGACGGCCTGCTTCCAACAAGCCTCTACATCCTCACAGAAGTCGGAAGAAGAACAAGAGCAATATCCAGTTTCGTACCGAGCAGCTCCCCGTTCGCAAAAGGCCTGTTGGGGCTAAGAACTACAA